TCTTTCCCTTTAGCTTTACTTTTCTGTGCTGATCTGTATTCTCCAGCCAGTCTCTGCTCTGCACCCACTACCCCAGGTAACTCTTGGCAGTACAACTTAAAAATACCTGATACCTGGTCCACCAGGGAGCCTAACCCCTAGCAGTCGGCACGCTAAAGCCTCAGGCTAGCCACTCTCTGGTTTGTTTCAGAAAAGCTGACAGGTCTGTATGGAAAACAGTGCAGACTGGTATGCCGAAAAGAAATAATCACCCAGAGCTCTCTCAAGGAGCATTTAGGCCCATCTCATTCATCTTTGTAACACTCCTATGAAAGAGCCCAGGCAAGTTCTCTCATGCCAGTGTTTCATAGATTTGAGGATGGGGCAGATCAATGGCGACAGGCCTGGGGGTGGGGAGCATGTGGGGTCTGGGAGGGCATAAGGATAAGAAGAGACAAAACCTAAGCCCCTTAAGGTTCCTACCACACACACACAGCCTCAGTACTGACATCTCCCGTGCAGGCAGCAGCCAGAGCAAATGCAGGTTTTGTCTTTCACTGGCGTGTTTAACTTTCCAGGGACTGGTCCCCATATATGGTGCTCCACATCTCCCTGTAAGCCCAAGACTAAACCGCCAGCCAGGCCGGCTGTATGGTCAGTAGCCGCCATTGAGCTGACATTCCAGGCCTCCAGGCAAATGTTTATTTCAAAAGATCTCAGCTCCAGCTCACTTCCTGCAGAAATGCTGTATCTCTCAATCTCAACCTTAGGTGGGAAATTTCCTCCCTGGGCAAAGCTGTGCTATTTACTTGTCCCTAACGCCTTCTTAGTCTCACAAGTGTTCAGTGTAGAGGGCTAAAAAGCAAGAGGCAGCAACACTGTCTCCGCCGCCAACCTTCTGCCACACAGCTGCCTACGATGAGCATGATTTTGCTTTCATCCTTTTGCAGCCTGGATTACGTTACCCGTAACGTTGCACGTCTGCACATGTGGCTTAGCAACTCTTCCTTAAGGAAGCCAGTAACTCATCTCCTGCACCATGCTGTTATCTGTAGGGCTGACATCTGCAATGTAGCAGGAAAACAAACAAACTAACAAATGAGAAAAAAGACAGGGAGTTATCACGGAGCAATTGGTAAGAAAATAAAAATGGAACTTTCTTCAGGATGGCCTCTTCCTTCCAAGATGAAGATCACACACTTTCGTGACCCAATTTAAAGTGATAAGATTTTTATAAGCTCCGGAATGGATTTCTTTTCCACATGCTTAGTGAGGTCTCTCTTCAGAAATCCAAATAACTGTTGTGAAATAGACTCTCACTTATCTCGACAGTGAAAAGCTGGAAAGCTAGAAAGTAAAACTTGCAAGTCTGTGTAGGCTTCCTCTTCTCATAAGGGGCCTGAAGTGATGTTTGAAATGGTTCGCTATTCAGTTGACCCAGGGAACCCCACAAAGTCATGCAAATCAAAGGATTCAAATCTTCGTGTTCACTTTCAGAACACCCGTGAAACTGCCCAGGCCATAAAGAGTACGTAAAGCAGAAAAGCCACCAAGTATCTAAAAGATGTCACTTCACAGAAGCAGTGTGCACCATGCCGTCGTTGTAATGGTGGAGTTGGTAGATGTGCCCAGGCCAAATAGTCGGGCTGGACACTGGGTTGGTGGCCCCCAAAAAGTGCTGAATTTATGCTGCAAATGCTTAAACATGCAGAAAATGGTGTTGGACTTAAGGGCTTAGATGTAGACTCTGTGGTCATTGAGCATATTCAGGTGAACAGGCAGGTGTTGTCTCTCATAGGCGCGCTGAACTTTCCAGAGATTCCTCCAAGACGCGCCGTCGTACTTCCAGAGCACATTATTTATAGATCGTCTCACACGTGCCAGGTCAAGATGGTCCTCACGGAAAAGGAGCAGACTGTTCCTAAACCTGAAGAAAAAGAATAAAACATCCCAGAAGAAACTGAAGATACAAACACTTACGGCACAGGAATAAAATCAGCATAAAATAAATGGAGATCCAAAAAAGGCAGTGCAGTGCAACAGTTCCTGTTACAAGCAGTACCAGTTAGTGTCTTCGGAGCACTCAGCACAGGCCAGACCATATGCAAAATGCTTTACTCATAAAAATTCATGAGGCAAGTTCAGACATTTTACAGATGAGAACACTGTCAGAAACATTAAGTAATTTGCCTAAGGTCGCTCACCTAGGAAACACAGCTCGGGTTTGAATCCAAGTTTATTTTCTGACTCCATGATGGTAACTCATGCTTTGCAAGATTCTGATTGCCATCCGAATTACCATGTAAAGATAAACATATTTTGTGTTCTCTACCTGTGCTCTAGTTCAGTATCCTGTGTTTTAAGGTCTTCTACCTGTATATGAGTTTTGAAGGAAAAAAATCAACTCACTGAGCTAAGAAATAAGATGCCAGGGCTATTGTGAGATTAGAAGTCATGAATATGGAATAACTTTGGGAAATATGGAGCATTCTACGGAGGAATGAGAATGCCACTTCTATTGAAATGTCAGCCGGTAAAGGTATGGTAATTCTCCCTTGACCAGAATACTTTGTAAATCAAAACACCTGCTTACCTAAGCATATCAGTGACTTGGGGACAAGCGACCTTTTCACCTCACAGTTTTGTGAGATGCAGCATGACGCCTGTTAGAGTCTGTACATCAAAATCTCGGGGCTTTACCGGGGCCGGTAAAGGTATGGTAATTCTCCCTTGACCAGAATACTTTGTAAATCAAAACACCTGCTTACCTAAGCACATCAGTGACTTGGGGACAAGCGACCTTTTCACCTCACAGTTTTGTGAGATGCAGCATGACGGATTTACCGGGTCACGATCTGGCTGGGCCCTGTTGTCCTCGTTAATGTCGAGAATTTCCCTTTGACAGGCACAGAAAACTCTTTAAGTGCAACTACGTGTGAAGATACACTTCTACGAATTACAGCTGGAGTCCGCACCAGGTGAACCGACCTACGGTCAAGGCTGCATAAACTAACCGGCAGCCTTACCCGTGATCCACGCTCACTCGATCGCCGAGAAGTTTCCAGCACAGCTGTTGTGCGCGGTATGGAAACTATTAAAGCAGCTCAGGGCTGGGGAATAAGACTCCCGGGAAGACCCACCGAGGACTCATGCTCATCTCGACCCGGAGCTGCGGAGACGACAACGGCACAGTTCATCAACGAGTGAAATGGCCGAAGGACTTTGTTCTAAGGTGCTTTAACGAAAACCGGGCGCGTCTGCGAGAGTGCTGTTTCAGGTTGGAAGGAAGCAGGCTGGGATGCTGGCTGTAGCCGTCCCACGCTCCTTCTTCCCATACTCCTAGGAGAAAACTGGGATCACAAAACACGGTGTAGGTCTTCCAGGGGGAAAGGCAAACACTGGCCTGACCCCGGGCTTCAGGAATCCTCTGACCACAGGAAGGAAGCTTATTAACCCCTCTCCTCTGCACGCTCCTTCCACTCCCCCCTTTCCCTGGTGAGGACCGGCTCCTCCTCCCGGTCTTGCGACCCCGGTGCAAAATGCAAACAACCGCCCGCCTCCCCACCCTGCGCTCACTTTCCCAGAGGAGGAAGAGGGAAGAGGGGAGGGCGCAGGCCCGAGGCTAGAGGAGCGAGCCTGTCAGTCGGGCGTGAAGGTCCGGACAAGAGGACCAGGACCGGGGAGCTTAGTTCTGGTCGGCTACCGCAGGCTCACCCTCTTCTCTGCTGAATTTGCACTCAGTACCCCACACTCCTAGCCTGACCCCCGACCCCCTTCAAGTCTCACAACATCCCGAGCCCTAGCGCCTCACGCAGGTGGTGCAAACGCCCCAGCTCTCCGGCACCCCCTGCCGGGAAGAAGGACCCCGGCTGCCGCGGCTGCGGAGGAGCGGCGCGCAGAGCTAGGAGAGCGCTCAGGCGCCTGGGAGAAGCCCGGAGCTTCCCTGATGGTGCCGCCGCCTCCTCCAAGCCGGGGAGGAGCGGCTAGGGGGCAGCTGGGCAAGAGCCTGGGGCCACTGCTGCTGCTCCTAGCGCTGGGACACACGTGGACCTACCGAGAAGAGTCCGAGGACGGCGACAGGTAACGCTGCCAGCCTCAGTGGAGGGCGAACTCCTGCTGGGTGCAGCGGGGACTCGCGGGGTGCCCTCGCCTTACCCCCCGCACCATCTGCACGCTCTCGCCTTTCCGGCCACGAGCGGGATGCTAGTCTGTGTTGGGCGACGCAAGACCCCGGGTCTCTGTGCGCTCAGCCGCGGCTTCCCCCGTCGACGAGTCGGGTTCTGCTACCGGTCTCCCTGCGTTTCTGCCGCCGTTCTGTGCCACACCAGCGGGCATAGTTCTCGATTCCAGCCTCTTTGCTTTCTCCCTCTCGGGAGAATAGTGTTGTTGCGTTGTGACCCTTGCTTGGCTGATCTGTCCCCAGCGTCAGCTCAGCGTTCGCGCCTGAGGACCCGCGCTCCACCGACGCGCAGAGACGTGGATTGCAGCGCGCATGCTGCTCTCCGCTTTGTGGTTGAGAATCAACGATGTTTTCTATTTAACTTTTTTCTTCTTTCTTGTAGAGAAATCTGCTCAGAAAACAAAATCGCAATTACCAAATACCCGTGTCTTAAGCCCTCTGGCGAGCTCACCACGTGCTTCAGGTAAGCCGCAGGAACCCTGCGGGGTCCGCCGCTGCGCGTCCTGCTCAAGTGAGGGCGTTGAAGACCCGACTGGGGCCAGGGGCCGCTGTTTTGCTGGGGTGTTCTGAGGGCGTGCTCCTTGGTGGGAGCCTTGAGCTGGTATTTGTGGGCCAGAGCAATTCCAGGCGGCGAGTTTGCAGCTAGAACGTGCGCTCTAAGGTGCAGAAACCGCTCAGGGCTCCCTGATGCCTCGCGGTGGAGGTTGGACGGGAAAGGGGTGGGAGTTTATGAAGAGTAGATGGTATTGAGTGTAAACGGTGGGGCATAGCAAGGAGGGACGGCTGCTTCAGTGTCTGCATTTTGCTTTGCAAAATAGTTGGCACTTGACTGCCTCTTGACCTTGTGTTGGGACAGAGTGTTTCACTGCCATGGCCTCTGGACAAGGGGTGTGTGTGTGTGTGCGCGGGGGGAGGGAGGGTTGGTGAGGGACTGATCATTGTGCTGTGGGAAAATAAAGTGCATCTAAATTGAGACAAAAGAATCTGTTTTAAGGTGTGGTCTACAGATACACCTGAGTGTCTTTCAATCCAAGTTGGCTGGGTGCTTGTTGAAACTGACCCTGGATAGAGTCTGGGAATCTTAAACAGGCTCCCAGGTGACTCAAGAACAGGTGGTTCTTATCCCTAAAAGAACCGATGTTCCCTGCCTTCCAGCTTTTTGTAGTTGAGGCTGAATTTGTTTCCCACTGCGGAATTCTTGGCTTGTGTTCCTGTGCTTTCTGTGTCTGTAGGAGGCACTGGCCCATAAACATCTGTTAGTCGTCTGATTTTTAAGGGACGGCATGAGGTGCTGGGATCATGTGCCCACACCAGATTCTGTGAGAATCCTGCACCCTAAGGTGCCAGAATAAATATTCAGGGGGTAAAAGATAATGCAGCAATCCCTAGCCAAAAAAAAAAAAAAAATGAAGTTCAGGGGGTTCGTGAGGTTGTAGCCCATGAGTCAGCCTTGATGCTCAAAGCTGTTTCACATACTCAGGTTCAGGTGTGTTTCTAGGGCTGGGTAGACTAGCGATTCAAAAACGCTATCAGTTACATCCGTCCTCATGTCTTCAATCTGTTCTTGGCAATGGAAGCACGTGCTCACGTAGGTGAGTCAGCAGTTGCTGCTTGGGCTTGGGAAGGGCTCCTTGGGCACGCCAGGTGACTGCTGAACAAAACGTATGTTAGAGTCGAGGGAATAAGAGGACTCCAGAAGGTTCATGGAAAATAGAATTAAAGAGCGAGTTATTTTGTCCCGAACACCTGAAAATCCATGTGTACTGTCTTTATAATATGCATTTTCTATGAGCTTCTGAAGATATCTTGTGTTTGGTTGGCAGGTAAAGACTTGATGGAGGTTGGGGCCAGGAGGTGGCACAGTGGTTAAGGTGCTGGACTCCCACATGCCCCACCACAATTCAAGGCCTGGACCTGGTGGCTGGCTTTCTCACTTTGTCTCTCTCCAGTCAATTTAAATAGTCACAAAATAACCCTTAAAAATAATTAAGACTTGATAGAGGCTACCTGAGTAGGGCCCTGCCTTTCATCTGATTTCTTCTTTCAAATTTTACCCAATATCATTTTTTGAAGTTGACCAGAGAGAAACAGAAGGAAAGTGAAATAGCAAGCTGCCAGGTCTGGGACTTGAACTGCAGTCAGCCTTGTGGGAGTCTGACTGCCTTAACCACTGTGCCACCTGCTGGCCCCACGATATTTCTTTAGACCCATTATTTTCCCCTCACTGTATTGTAAAGCCTGATTTCACATGCAGAGCGTCCTTGAGATGGTTTGTTCATTGGTTCAGTCCCTGAAGGCCAGACCTCATGTGAATCAGATGGTTTTAGAATGTACGTCAGATTTTCAGAAATCGCTGGTGCCTGATTATTAGCGTTACTGTCCTATTTTCCTGTTTTTTTTTTCTTTTAAAGCAGTCTAGTAGTTCTTTACACTGCCTTAACTAGACACCTTAGCAGCATTTTGGCATGTTTTCATTAACAGCTATCCAAGAGAGATAGTCCATAAGATATTGCAAAAAGGATTCTACATAAAGAAAAAAGTAAACCACTTGGGAACCGGAGATGTCTTCAGCTTGAGAAAGTGGTAATGGTTCCTGTGACTATGAAAGCGTCTGGTTTTTGTTTTTATGTTGAAATTACTTTCTGTATGGAGGCTGAGTTCTATTTTCTGTTGGTTCTACACTTCTATAATTCAATCTCTTAAAATCAGTTGTTCAGGCTGGCAGGTGGCATGGTGGTTAAGGGGCTGGACTCCCACATGGCCCACTCTGAAGTCCTGGGCCTGGTAGCTCGCTTTCTCACTTTTCCTCTCTGTCTCTCTAGTGAATTTAATTAAATATTTTTCTTTTAAAATAAGGCATTGCTAACTCATCTTGCTTAAGAACCCCCAGGAATAGAGTACTGTGTTCCTGTGGATTCTGCTGTCCTAGCCCTGGAGCCACTCACTGCTTCATTCAGGTGTGATCTAGCAGCATGCCCCCACCTAGATATCAGTTAGAATCTCCAACCCCTGGGGTTAGCAGGTGGTGAGGTGGTTAAAGGTGCTGGACTCCCACAGGGCTGGCCATAGTTAACAAGCCGCCAGGGGGTTTGGGAATGCATTTTCACTTTCTCTTTCTCTCTCTCTGGTCAAAATAAAGTTAAATCCTAAGTCTCTCCCTCCCCCCCATGTCTTGAATCAGAAATTTCACTTTAATGAGCTGCACATTAAAGCTTGAGGAACACTGATATAAAAACCTCAGTCCTCATCCCACCGACATACTCTGGCCTCTGTGGAAACAATACTCTTCTATTGTACTATATTAACCTATAAAGGTAACAAAAACCAGCCTTACTAGGAAACCAGACCTCCTCAAGGGTTTCTCTTAATTAAGTTATAAGCAATGTAACATTACCTTTACTGCCGCGGGAGGGAACCATCTGAGGTAGAAGCATTGTTTATCAGGCGCCTTTTAGTTAACAGGTTTTTCAGTGCATGTAAAGGAATTCTGAAAGCCACTTCTGAATTATTGTGATTTTAAAATAAAGTTTTAAGTCACTGGGGGAGGGGTGGGGGGACCAGCAGGTGGTACAGTGGTTAAGGTACTGGACTCCCCATGGCTGAATACAACAGTCTGAGTCCCAGGCCCAGTGGATTGAAACTTGCACCAGGCATGTGTGCATGTCCGAAATCCCAAGAGGAGAATGGGAAAGGGATTGCAGGCACAGCCATCCTCCAGAGGGTGATTTCTCACTTTGTCTGCAGCAAGCATACATGTCCTATAGAAAAAATCTTTTAAAAAAGTGATGATGCTCAGGGAATAAATGTTAAGTAATTTAAAAAAAGTTGCAGGAGAAAAACAGTAAAACTGTTCATATCGAAAATTTTTAAAATGCATATTTGATGACTGCGGTAAGCTATATAGCCCCAGCTAGGTACTACTTTATAATATGTTCGTTCTACTCACTGAGGTTTATGCCTAAAGTCAGACTTGGGTTCATGTATAGGTATATATCAGCTGTGCTAGCTATTGGATATATTTAGCAAATCAATATATTTAGCAAAAGTTCATTAGCAAATCAATTAAATGGGGGAGAAGGCATAGAAAGCAACCATGGATACCAGAGACAATGTGGGAGGAGGGTGAGGCATGTCAGAGGGTGAGGGATAGGGAATCAAGGATGGCAAAACAAAGTATACAAGACATAAGAATTGGAAAATTATTTGCTGAGAACATGTATGTTGATGTGCTTGATTGAGCCAATACACAGTGTATTTTGGATGGAAACTTCATTTGTATGCTGTAATGTATAGTGAATTAATGTAATAAATTTAAAGAGGAAAAGTCACCGGGTGGCTTGCTTTCTCACTTTCTCTCTCTCTCCTTCTCTGTCTTTCTGATCAAACTGGAAAATAATAGTAAATAAAGGTAAAATATTTTTTAAAAAGTCACTGGGTAGGATTTATACTAAAGTATGGTAGCTGTAATTCCATCCGCTGTTACACCCAACTGTGGAAAGAGATACATGGTTTGAAGGAGAGGGATTCACAGTCTACCCTGGGCCTCCATTCCCTTCCTTTGTGCATATCTTACTTTCTAAGCATCTTTCTTGTCACTTTATGTTAATGATGGTGTGAGGGCTCGCCAACTATTCACTCCTGTGCATTCCGCATACGCTATCTAACCTGCAGAGCCACTCTGTAGTATTTACATGTATTCAACAGAAGGGAACCCAAACCCAGAGATTAAATAACATGCCCAAGGTCACCAAGCCAGTACAGGTGAGACCTGAGAATGACACCTGGGTGTGTCTGACTACAAAGCCTGGGCCCTTTCATCATCCCAGATAGTACTTACAGCTGGGGCTGAATGAGCCAGCTCTTGGACTCTCAACTAGGGAAGAATATTTATAAATCTGTAGATTTCATGCACACATGCCTGGTGCAAGTCCCTGGGCCTGGGACTCAGACTGTATTCAGCCATGGGGAGTCCAGTACCTTAACCACTATACCACCGTGATCGTGCTCGTCTTTCTGAACTATGATTGCCCTCGAGGTCTATCTTGGGCAGTATACTTGGTATTACCATATTATACTCAACACTGGCACATAGGTATAGCTTTCCTTCCTTGTCCCATTTTATTTTACATCCCAGGGCGCTGTCTCTATAGACTGCCCACAGTGTGCGTAGTGTCGAGGACTTAGTGTAAGAAAGCGAATGCCCGTGACAGCTGAAGGAGCTTAGAGTACAGATTTGCTCAGCAGCATCTGAGGTAGGGCTTACTCTTACCAGTAAAGATATCGGAGTAGAGGTGTGATTTATCTTGACTTGGAATTTATTGAAGCCAAATCAAGCATCTGATGATGTTACCACCTTACCCTGGTGGCTCACAAAGCTTTTTCCTCTTTCCCAAACCATTATAGTTCAAATGATTTGTGTTTACCTTTATTGGCTTCCATACCAATAAAATGACAAAGGCTTTA